AATATTGTAGTATATACATCAGAATCACATTGCCTTCAATTTAATTTATTTATTTACTTTGCTTCTCAACCACTGCATCTAGGGCTTGATTTTTCGGAACAAAACTTGATACGGAGGTCTTCTCCCTCTATTATTTTTCAACCCAGTAAATGTCACTGATTCAGATTTTATTTCGTGAAGTTCCTTATAATTCGACATTTTGCATTCGAAGTTATTCATTCGAACACATTGCAGCATTCTTATTTGAACACAATAAACGCTGCCTTTCTTAGGGACCAACATGAGACCAAACAAAATAAGCTTGGTATTTAACGTGTTGGGCAAAAACGTATATTTTACCATTATCATCGCCCATCAGCGGCTGAATGTCAAAAGCCGCTGAACACTATTAGTTCGGTCTGGGATTCGGCTCTCAGCGAACGGCCTGGCTGCATGGGCGTTTTCGTGTTTTTCCCCATGTGCAACGTTAATACGAACCAGTATCCCTCAAAATGTCTGCCGCGGGACACTCCACTCTTGTCGTGTAGTGCCTAACTGCGGAGCACGTAATAAATAATAATGTATAAAACTATTGCCAGCGTTTTGTTTTCATGGTTTCAGTTTAGTATGTGTTGTATAAAATATAAACTTAACGTTTTAAGTCGAGATCTTGTTTTCGCTGCGGGATGGGAATCTAAAACAGTTATCATTGATTTTAATACAAACATCAAATTAAATATGATGAATCAATGCAACTAAAGGTTCGTGAATTTAATAATTACATAAAATTAAAAAATTCATTTTACTTCAGATGTGAAAGAAGTTGTTTCTTCTGACTGGGTCTTCTGTGGTATTATCTTTTGATCACTTAAAAATTCATTTTTGAATTGTTTAAAAGATTGTCATTTTTACTCATCGTAAATCATAATATACTAATCAATAAATTTAAAATGGAGATGACTAATTTTTATAGCAATTAAAAATTATTAATGGAAATAGGTGGTGCTACTGCAATAAATTGAATATTCTAATAGCAAAAGTTTGCTTGAAAAAAGGAATATCCTAAAGTTAAATTTTCTATTTTCCTCTGCTGAAGGTTGATTTTATTTAGTGTATGTTAATTTACATAAAAACATTCAAAATTTTTAATAGTGTATGTTGTTTGTTCTAAGGTAAGTATTAAAAATGCTCAATATTCCTTAACGTTTTTTAAATAAATCCAAGAAGTGCGAAAATGTAAAATAATAATAATAATAATAATAATAATAATAATAATAATAATAACTATGTAATGACCCTTATGAACGATAAGTTCTTGCATCATAGAATAGAAACTTACTTTCCATGTTCAGAAACTACAAAAATACGCAGTAATTCGAATATGATAACCTTTAAAATTACTAAAAGGATCATTAGACTGTATAGAATAATACTAATATGCGTACAATAATAATAAGTCTTGAAAGTACAAGGAAATCGCTCAGTGTGTGATTGTAAGAAAAGCGCAAAAGACTAAAATATGAAATTTATTAAATTAGAAGCATTTTATTCCTGCATTTAATTTTGTTTTTAAAATCTAGAATTGAATAAGTAAATAAAATTTCACATTGTTAACCCAAGAAATCCACACCGTGACGATGGGAATGCTGTCGAGAAGCGTATGTTTTTGCTATTATCTTCTAGAGCAGCGATCTCCAAACTTACCTGATCCCGTATCCCTAAGCAAAAGTAATTACAAGTTGTACCCTATTTAATATAATAGAGTGCAATATAATTAAATGGAATATAATGTAATGGGATATGCATGCGCTTTAAAACCGGAAAGGTTATGTTGAGCTTCCCAGCTACTAGTGAAACCAGGCACAGTGACCAGCAAGAGAACCTCTCTCACGTGATACACGATCATACACTAGCGAGTTATTGTAGACCCACTTCTCTGGCGTACCCCCAAGTATCACTTTGGTGACTGCTTTCTTATGTCTAAGACGTCGACGTTCACAATTTCGTCAAACGTTGTGTTCATGAGAGGTTTCGCTGTGTAGGTCTTCGTATAACCGGCTGTTCTTTGTACCTACAATGCGGAAGAAAGGAAATATGATATCCTAGCCATGTCTCATTTAAAGACAGTGATTCCAGAAAGGACGTACAACATCGTAGTGTGAGTAGAGTTCGCAGCACACAGGTAGTCGTATCAGATGTTCATGCTGTAGAATATCTACTAATCACGAATGTTGGTACTGTAAGAAGTGTGCAGGGAGTATTAAGTGCGCCGATTAACAGTATCGAACGTGCTGCTCCCGTGATTGCGGAGATTTGGCTGCTGTCAGCCATCCTTTTCGAAGGCTCTCCTTAACAGTATATCATCGGTGTTATCACTTATAAATGGTATGGAAATAGGAGGGAGAATGGAATAGCGCAGTGCTTGTGCTTCCTTTCTGTCTAATTAATAATGATCATTGTTTGAGAGCCTGAAATGCCTTCATTTCTTTTCAAGAAATGAAGACATTTCCTTGGCCAATTCGATAGCTTGATCTTTAATTAATCGACCGTCTGTGAGACATGATTGGCCATCTGTTGAATACATTTCCACCTATACGAAATGAACTCGAACATGGATCAATGTGACATAATCCATTGTAGCCCAGGAAAGTTGTTCTGTCTCGGTTAGAATATTTATGTCTATTAGTACTGGCTTAATGCTTGCAGCGCCACGTAATGTTAGTGGCGAGAGCCCAGTACTAATCAGTAAGCGATAGGGATGCACTCGGTCCACATCGAGTCTCCGCTCCTCTGCCCTAACAAAGCGGCAGTCAATTGTTAATTATTACTTACTCACTCCTTGCCCGTTTAAGCGGCATTATTGTTCTTGAAAGAAAATAAATCTTGTTAAGTTTCTCAACTTGACTTTCATGAATTAATATACAGTCCATAACTACCAATTGCTATCAACATTACCACACTAACATTGCGTGGCGCTGCAAGCATTAAGCCAGTACAAATAGACATAAATATTCTAACCGAGACGGAACAAAAGTATTCAGGCATTTATAGAATAGATGCCTCACCGGATTCAGCAGTGCATCTCTCAGAATGGAAGTTCTGTTTCTGATTGATCCAGTATTCGGACATTTAATGAATCTATGCCACGTCAGATTCGGCAAGGTATCTATCAAAATAAAAGTACTGTTTTTAATTGATCACCTTCTATTATTGAGGCTCCTGGGAGGATCTTTATAGGAAAATTAAATCATTTTTATGAATGTGTTTGGTTACATATGAGTGCAGTTTTTTTTGGGGGGGGCAAGGGGGCTGTTATTGAACATTCGCTCATGTTGTAACGTTTTCTTTGCCAGACAGTGTAATTTTAAAATGCAGTAAAAGGATTTAGAGGCTTCTCTTTAGCATGGACGCCAAGAGTATGCGCCTCGTCTGCCTTCTGCGGAAATCAAACACCGTGTATATAGCAAAATTCTGCGAGGTACGCTCTGAAATTGTCGAATTAAAAGTAAATTTTAAAGTTTGGTTTACGTTTTAACTGTGTGCAAATCAACTACTTCATGCACTGAGAATGGTGAAATCTAGCGATCGAAATTCACCGATATAGTTGTTAGGCAATTTACATATTTATCTGAAACTACAGATTTCTTGACAAACTCTGTGAACGTACTAGACGAATTTTTTAATGAATAGATAAATGTTATAGTAATATTAATATTCTAAATCATGCTGTCGTGATCAAGCTGTCTGGTATGTTTTAAAAAATCTCAGGTTTCCTTGTAATAACACCATTCAAATAAAAACATTCCTGGAAATAAAAAAAAAAAAAATTCTCATATCAGAGTTTTTCAAGTGAGAATAATAAAGTTCAGAGCAATTAAAAAGAGAATGTATTAAAAAAAAGCACTTTGTTAATGTTGAAAAATAGTTAAGAGTTAAAAGGATTAAAGTCAGTTATTCATTTCTCAGTTAAATATAAATTCTGAGAAGTTAAATGTTAGAATTACGTTCATGAATATGTTGCTTGCTCGTATTCCATATCTTTTGAGGAAATTCAATCACCATATCCACCAATAAATGTGATTTGCAAATTTAATGGAAACGTAAGGAAAGTAAGCCTTGAGTTGTAAAAAACCGATGTCAGATAGCTATGTAATAAACTGCATTTGGGGGGCGAGGAAGAACAAATTTATTTAATTGTCTGCTGCGTTATTTATAAGTTAGAAGAGTGTTTCATTCTAGGTCTTCAATATAGATAAAATTCCGAATTACCTTTTGATTATGTGTAGGGACAGTGTTTTGGCGACAGATTCTCAAAAACAACCTTGTTTGCTTTCCAAGCAGAGAACAAACCGTGTACCATTTATCATTAGAGCTTGCTGACAAAATCTAGTTTAACCACAACTTATCGAAATTCTTGCCAATGCTGTCACATGGATCTTGCGTCAAAAAGCGAGATGTAAAAGTACAGCTTTTTATATAAGTAAAACTTAATGTGTTATATATTCCGTAGATTTATATTATGCTTTAAAAAAATGTACCTTATTTCTTAGGTTTTAGCTTATTTGAAATATTTACTTAGTATTTCTAAAGCTTAAATAAATATTCAGTGTGTTTCTAAACACTTTCATATTTGTTTGTAAATACATGCGTTTATTTCAAGTTTGACGTTGCTTCTTATTTTTTATTTGATCTTAGACATATATCATGAATTTTGCCTTAAAATATTTGTTTCTCCTTTTCCTGCCAGAAATAAACATGCGTTAGGATTATGTTCTTAGCGGTTGTTTTTTCACTCGTCGTAAATCGTTGATAAGGATCTTTTCTTATTTGCTTGCTCAGTGAGGCACGTAAATTAGTTACATGTTTCTTTTGGCAAAGTGAGTGGTTTCAAGAATGTCTCTCATGGTCTCAAGAATGGGCTTCTCATGTTGACTACACATTTGTTGTTCTTTCAGACGTTTTAAATACTTTTGCTTTTCCATTTATTTATGTATTTATTTATCTATTTTTTCTTTGCACAGAGGCAAGTTTGCGACCGTGCGGCGTTGCAAGCATAAGGAAACAGGACTGGAATATGCGGCCAAGTACATGAGGAAGCGAAGACGAGCTGCTGATGTTCGTCACGAGATTCTACACGAGGCCCATGTGCTCGAAATGAGTGCGCAACATCCTCACATAGTGCAGCTGCACGAAATATACGAGACTCCATCCGAAATTATTCTCGTTCTCGAATTGTGAGTTAATTTTTTACAGCTTCACTATTAAACATATAAAATTATTCATTGTTGATGATCTTGTTGGGTAATGTGTAACTTCCCTACAAACGCATAATACATAAAAAAAAAAAAAAAAAAAAAAAAAAAAAAAAAAAATCGGTCGTGTGCGTGTTTCTGTTTGTTTAAAGGCGTTTATGTTCCCCCTACTAACTCATAATGCAATTTTTTAAAAAATATAGTCATGATTTCCTTTTTGTTTAAATACGTCTATGTGCACCACACAGCAAAGTCGCGAAGTAACTTAACTAAGTAATTTTAGATAGGATTTCAGGAGTTTTCAGAAAAATGGAAACCCAGCTTAACCACCGTTTCATTCTTTAAACGAATATACTTTATAACGATTACACGTAATCAGCATGAAAAAGCTCTTGGTATACAGATTTCGTA